CGGCATGTGGGATCCTCCCGGACCGGGGCACGAACCCGTATCCCCTGCATCGGCAGGCGGACTCCTAACCACTGCGCCACCAGGGAGGCCCCTGAATAGGAATTTTAAGTATAAAAGAAGATACCATACATAGTTCATCATGTAAACTAAAATTACAATTGCCTGGAAGAGAAGCTTTGTTTTGAACTGTCCATTAAGAAGACAATACAGGGCTTCCCTGGTGGCGCAGTGGTTGAGAGTCCGCCTGCCGATGCAGGGGACGTGGGTTCGTGCCCCGGTCTGGGAGGATCCCACATGCCGCGGAGCGGCTGGGCCCGTGAGCCATGGCCGCTGGGCCTGCGCGTCCGGAGCCTGTGCTCCGCGGCGGGAGAGGCCACGGCAGGGGGAGGGCCGCGGACAGCAAAAAAAAAAAAAAAGAGGACAATACACAAATTGCGGAGGTAGCCATATTCCAATTCAAAATATATAAATTTAGGAGCAGCCAAAAAGGAGGAAGGAAAATATGCTACCTCAGGAAGCCGGGCATTACTCATTGATGCAAGCATTAAAAAGACACTGAAGGAGGGCAACAGGAGGGAAGGTTATTCACCTCTCAAGGGCCTTTCCTTTTATTCAAGCTTAATATTTGGGGGAAACATGGGAGTTTATTAGTTGGGATTTTTTTTTAATATAACAATACCCTTTCATTTTAACTATCCTCAAATGAAAACTAATTCTAATAGAACTATTCTTAGGAAAACAAAAACAAAATAGAAAACTTAAGACTACAGATCTTTGTTTCTCAATTTTTTAACCTAAGAGGGAAAAAAGACTGCCTATTAAAAAAAAACAAAACAGGTATCACATCATTTTCAGCAACAATTGACGTTAAAAGACAATGAAGATGTAACTTTGACGTTCTGAAAGAAAATTATTTGAAACAGAATTATGTTCCCCCCAAATCAGCATTCATGTGAAAGAATAAAGTTACAGACATTTTCAGACATTCAAAAATTCTAAGTTTAAAATCCATAAAACTTCCCTCTAAATGACAACTGGGGGACTCTCCTGGTGGCGCAGTGGTTAAGACTCCGTGCTCTCAATGCAGGTGGCCTTGGTTCGATCCCTGGTCCAGGAACTAGATCCCACATGCATGCCACAACTAAGAGTTCACGTACCACAACCAAGAAGCCCACCTGCCACAACCAAGGAGCCAGCCCGCCACAAAAAAGATCCGCCTCGACCAAGACCCACCGCAACCAAATAAATAAATATTTTTTAAAAAATAAAAATAATAAAACACAACTGGATAAAGGAAACAAACTACACTAGAAACACAACTATATAGAATTTTAAAATATAAGTAAGCAATAAGTACTAAGAAATTTAATAAGTAAAAATTAATAATAAAAAGAAATAGCAATTCAAATACATGGTATTCAGTAACTGCAGCTGACATCGTACTGTTCATGTCAAAAGGATTCAAGCTAAAAGTAAATTTCAATGTTACATACGTATAAAAATTGTATAGAGGGGGCTTCCCTGGTGGCGCAGTGGTTGAGAGTCCGCCGGCCGATGCCGGGGACACGGGTTCGTGCCCCGGTCCAGGAAGATTCCACATGCCGCGGAGCGGCTGGGCCCATGAGCCATGGCCGCTGGGCCTGCATGTCCGGAGCCTGTGTTCCGCAATGCGAGAGGCCACAACAGTGAGAGGCCCGCATACCCCTCCCCAAAAAAAATTGTATAGAGGAAAATAGCTTTGGCATGTTGACAGAGAGGGGCTAGCCAAGTAAAATTCACCGATTAAAAGACAGTGATTGGCAGTTTACAGTTCCACATGTAAACAACTCAGGAAGTCCCCACTCCATCATAACAAGTAAAAAAAAGCAGAACAGACTGGAAAATCAGCAACCATTCTTGGATCCATAAGAGAGGACACAGGGCAAACTGCTGTCCCAAAGATTGGAGAGACAGGTGAAGACAAAGAGTCACAGCTTATGGGAGTAAAGACTTCAGGCCTCTACTTGAAACTGTCACGGAAACCAGGACATGAGTAGGAAAGCCTGAATCCAACTGATGATTTGCTGGAAGCTCAATGTGGACAATTCCCAGAGTTTTTTAAAAACTCCAGGGGGCCAGTCATAGCAGGCCTCACACAATATTGTGAGATTGACCTCCAGGAGCTCCGTCAGATTCCCACAGTAAATATCAGAGAAAAATACCCGAACTTCCCACAAGGGGTGGGATGGTGGAGGTGGGGGACACAAGACCATTATGAAATACAGTTGACCCTTGAACAACACAGGTTTGAACTGCAAGGGTCCACTTATATGTGGATTCTTTTCAGTAAATACAGTACTGCATGATTCACCGTTGGTTGAATCCATGGATAAAGAGGACTGATTATGGGCTTCCCTGGTGGCGCAGTGATTGGGAGTCCGCCTGCCGATGCAGGGGGCGCGGGTTCGTGCCCCGGTCCGGGAGGATCCCGCGGGCCGCAGAGCGGCTGGGCCCGTGAGCCGTGGCCGCTGGGCCTGCGTGTCCGGAGCCTGTGCTCCGCGGAGGGAGGGGCCGCAGCGGTGAGAGGCCCGCATACCGCAAAAAAAAAAAAAAAAAAAAAAGGGCTGGTTATACATGTGCTGCGCCCCTGAGGTTGCCAGCGCCTGGATTCAAACCCAGCAGAATAAATGTCAGCGGCTGGCCACCCCA